AATGACGCCTTGCCACTTTTCAGTTTCTTTTGCGACATGCTCATCAAAATCTGATCTCAAATCATTTTCATTCAATATTGGATCGATTATCACACTGGACGGTAAGATATACAAGCCTTCGTCATGATCAGATAATGATATTCGCTTTTTAGATCGAAATTTTATCCATCCCTTAATACATTTATCAGTGGTGCTTCTTTTACAGAATATGATGGAAATGGAGAATCTCAATTACGTACCTTGTTTTGTGGTACTCTCGAGCGGTCACGTGCTCATTGGTCAGGAAACCGAAAACTACAGTTTTATTCGCACTCTTTCGGTGGTTCAGCTTCGCAAAGTGTTGGCTGTGAAGTTTTCTGACGAGCTAAAGGTACTTACAATAGTGAGTATTATCATCGAGAAAGAAGAAACTTCAATCGATCACAATTTTTGCGTTTTAGAACTGTAGGTCCATCAATGACTCTCAGCGAAAAACTAGCATCGTGAGTTTTGCAGCGAAAGCGGATATGCACACTTTTATGCGTGAGATGACGGTGATTGGATCCTTTGTTCTGTTTACATCTTAATGATCTGTGCTCATATTAAACAGTGTGTTAATGTAACTCTTGTTAATGTCTGACGCTCCTTCAATTTGTTGCACATAATCATTGAGTTTGGCAATATTTTGTATTCTGTATTCGGTATTTGATCAGCTGTTCCGTTATTGATCGATAATGTTGTTATGTCTTAGTTTTTGCACCTTATTAACCTACTCAGCGTGACAGACGTCATTTCCTTTTTTTATCCATCCTGTGTTATCCGAGATTTTTCTTCGCCTTGTTCTTGAGTTGTTATCCTCTATTCAGAAAGTTTGGACGGTGTGGCTAAAAGATTTGATCATGATGTTTTTGAGGATTAATACAAAATTAGCTCACACTTCTTCCATAGAAGATGGGATAAGTCTTGTACCTAGAAACGCATAAAAAGATCCGTCAACCATTTATTACATCTGTCGCGTTATTCAGTGGAATAAATTATGAGTTTTTACGGTACTCTCCGTTATACTTCACTTTTATCATACTCTGGCTGTTGCGCACTCGCTGTGACGTGAATGATGACGTGAATAACTGTTTATTTATATTTTTCATCGGATGTTTAGACCTCGGTCAGAAAGTTATTTTTTACAATTAACCATTGCCGTAATAAGGGGAAAGAATGTTGCGTGTTGTACCCTGCGAAACCTTTCATTCGATCATTTGCCAGTTATTTCTGTTAAAGTCGAAGTGAAAACTGAATCATTACGATGATATTTAACAAAAGTATTTTGGTAATAAGCTTTGAACACTGCTCTTGTGGATGCCATTGCTAAGCCTGAAAATTCTTATTGATCAGCGTAAGTGCTCAGTTGGTAGTTTCTTTATTTTGATCCGTGCCATTCTAAATGGATTAAAAGACCCTCATATTAGTCTTGGATATATGTTTAAGCGAGAGTATTTCGAATACTCCACTCAAACAAATGACCTTCCTGTGAGAACTGTCGAGTGGTTCAGTGTATATGTAGAACACTGAGTGAATCGAAGTTGTAGAAGGTTTTGCATTGTGTTTCTTTTGTCTCCGGGAAACTGAACTTGCAGTTGCAATATCGATGGATGGACTCTGAACGGATTAAATATTCGTGACATGACTCCCCTGGTTTTAAGCGGTCGTTTCTTAAATAGTTCTGTCATCTGACCAGAGCTAATTTTCTGATGAAATCACGTAGAAAATCATAGATAAACGAGCTATTGATTTAATCTGGCTCATGGCTAAGATTTATAACATTCTTTCGTGAGTTTCATGTCATCGATTTTCGTGGCTTGTTGCTGGTCGCATCAAAGTAGTGCTTTCTGTATCCCAAATATTTTAAGCAAGATCATTGATTAGCTATCGTTAAATAACCAGTGAATTGCTCGAAACCTAGCTAATTCTTGAATTTCAAGATACGCAAACATTTTCAGTGGTAAAACAATTGATTCATATTTTACTGAGCATAAATAATTTTTGATTTCTGCGATTATCGGTTCTGTATCGATAATGAATTTTACTAATAACAGTATTGACACACGAGGAATGTGCGTTGTTTTTGTGTTATCTTAGATCATCACTCAGCCGT